CTTGCGTTGACTCAAGACAAATCCCTCTGGAGAACGAGCAACTTCAATTCCAAGAAAATATTTTAGCTTGCCTAAATCTTTAATGCTAAATTTAGCATCCAAATAAGATTTCACAGTATCAATATGGGTGATATCATTTCCTGCTAAAATAACATCATCGACATATATAAGAGCAAATGTGTTGATGGAGCCTTTTTGAAAAATGAAAAGAGAGTGGTCCGCCTGGGATTGACGAAAACCAACACTAATGAGAGCATGAGTAAATTTGTGGTACCAATTGCGAGATGCCTGTTTTAACCCATAAAGAGATTTTTGTAATTTGCAAACGCGAGTATCACCAATTTTGGAAAACCCTTGGGGAACACGCATGTAGACATCTTCTGAGAGATCTCCGTGAAGAAAGGCATTATTAACGTCTAGTTGGTGCACAATCCAATTACGCTTGGCAGCAACCGCCAACAAGCATCGTACAGTAACTAGTTTGGCAACTGGCGCAAATGTCTCATGGAAATCGACTCCTTCAATTTGTGTGAAACCTCTAGCCACCAACCTAGCTTTGTAACGTTCCACATCCCCATTCGGTCTGTATTTAATTTTGTAGACCCATTTAGAATCAACAACTCTTTTTCCCGGTGGTAATTGGACTAAAGTCCAGGTATCATTTTCTTCCAAGGCATTAACTTCCTTTTGCATGGCCTCCCGCCATAGAGGATCCTGTACAGCTTGTGAAAAATATTTAGGCTCATCACGTGAAGTGATGGCCGCCAAAAATACTTTATGTGAAGCTGAAAATTTTTCATAATTGATAAAATTGGAAAGAGGATATACCGTTGAGTCAACTGAATTGGCAGTGGATCGTGAATGATTAAGCGAAGGGGGCAAGTCAGTCTCATAATTATCAAGATGCTTTGGGAGCTTTCGAATCCGATCACTCCGTTTTGGCTGAGAACTAGATTCAGTGCAAGAATCAAGGACTGGTTGATCAATGGAGCCCGCTGGAATAGTTTCTTGTGCAGAAACGTCAAGTTGAATAGGTAGCTGCATGGAAGAGTGGGGCGTAGCAGCTGATTCATTGTCCATTTGGTGCATTATTTTTGATGTGGGGCCTTGAGAAAATGATTCACGTACATAATTTAAAGGAGGGGGCTGCAGTTGTCTACAAGTTCGTGACGTGCTTTGTTGCTCTCCAGAAGACACCAACGGCAGTAAGGTGTCAATTTCATTGGGCGGCAGCTGTTCTCCTTCAATTGGTGTGGGACCGTGAACCAATTGTTGTTTATCCGCTTCTCTTGATATTGAGTTGTAACTGTTCTGACCAAATACGGGCTGTCCGGAAGTGACAACCGGATGGATAACGTCCGGGTGAAGGTGCGGTGTGGGTAGCTCATAGCTTAATATGTGCTCATAAACTTTATCAATAATGGTCGAAAAATCAAGCTCTTCACTCAACCGAATTTTAAAAGGAAACTTTTCTTCGTAAAAAGTTACATCTCGAGAGCTATAAACAGTATGTTTTTGTAAATCAAAAACACGATAAGCCTTTTGACCATTCGGATAACCAATGAATATACAAGGACTCCCCCTTTCACTGAATTTATCTTTTCTCTTATTGTCATGTGCATACACCAAACATCCAAAAACTCGCAAATGGTCATAGCTAGGTATTTTTCCAAATAGCATTTCATATGGGCTTTTGTTAAAAATAATGGGCGAGGGAAGCCTATTAATTATATAAACAGCAGTTAAAATGCATTCTCCCCAAAAATTAATAGGCAACCCAGACTGGAAACGAAGTGCCCTTGCAACCTCCAATATGTGTCTGTGCTTACGTTCAACAACTCCATTTTGTTGTGGCGTATCTGTGCACGATGTTTCTAGTAATATTCCAGTGCGAGCATAATAATCAAATAAATGGGTTGTTTGAAATTCCAAACCATTATCAGCCCGGATACGTTTGACCTTTTGCTCAAATTGAGTGTTAACCATGTTGCAAAATTGAATTAAAAGTTGAGAAACCTCGGACTTATTCTTCATTAAATAAACCCACACACCTCTAGTAAAGTCATCAACAATAGATAGGAAGTACCGTGCACCAGAGGTTGAATCGCATCTGTAGCCTCCCCAAATATCACAATGTATCAGTTCAAAACAACGAGTTGTCTTAATGGTACTGGTAGGAAATGACAGTCTAGTTTGTTTGGCTCGGATGCAGGGATCACAAAATTGATTGCTTTGACGAAAGCCTTTGAGAGAACTAATATGATGTAATTTCCCATCAGAAGCATGTCCCAAACGTTGATGCCATAAATCAGAAGACACAGAGACTGACATAGCCACCCCTTCACTTTTTGGATAATCGAGGTAGTAAAGACCATCACGATATTGACCCACCCCAATCAGCTTTCTAGATGGTATATCCTGCAAAACACAGAAGTCTTGAAAAAATGTGAGAGTGCAATTTAAATCACTTGTAAGGCGACTAGCTGAAAGTAAATTGCACTTGAATTTTGGGATGTATAAAACGCGACGAAGATGCATCCCATTGGGTAAATATAAGCTACCAACGGCATGAACTGGAACTGATTCGCCGTTGGGAATTTTGACTGATGAATGAGAGACAGAACTCAAGATATTAACAAGATCACGACCATCACAAGTGATATGTTCTGTAGCTCCGGAGTCGATTATCCAAGAGCGAGAATAAGGCAATACATCTGCCATGATGTTTACTGAAAGAAGATTTAGATGAAATAAAATTTAAGAATTTTATTTCCAGGATTTTGGCTCTGATACCATGATAAAAATAACATACTCATAAAGCGGAAGGAAGAAATATATTGATAGATGATCAGAACTCACTTTCTTATTACATTAAGAAACATACGGGTGTGTATATATATTACAAGGTCACTGCATAATAGAGTATGGGCATGATTGACCTATATGGCCCATGCACAATGCTAATCATAGATGTAATACGGAGTAGTTAGGTAAATACACATCTACATAATACTTAATACGAAGTATATTTCAATAATGTATATATGTTTTTTAATAAAAACTACCAATAATTTACGACATGGAGCAACTCTATACATGTGACTTCCACCTAAATGCTTCTCGATTACCTCCCCTATTTATATTTTTGTTATCATTGTTTTTCTTGAATCTTGCCAAGGCAATATTGGTGTTTTTAAATAAAGCATACTAATATCAAAGTTTGGTACTTCGTGTAATCGAAGTTTGAAATCTAAAAAAGATAAACCTTGGTGATGAGGTATACCAATGTATAGAGTACCGCTCTAATCGAAGTTTTTATATCTTTTTTATAAAAGATATTTAAAAAATATAGAGTACCGTTCTAATCGAAGTTTGTTAATATATAGAATTACCATTCATTTAATGAAGCATACAAATCCACCAAATTCAAAATTTTTAGGTACATTTTAATTGAATGAGAAGTACTTTTTCATGTAAGGGAATCAAATAGGTGTCAAATTTGAAGAGTTTAAGGCTTGTTTGCAAACTCTTAAATTAAGAGGCCATTTGACAACACTGATTTTCGGTTTATCAGACTTATCAACCAGCTTTTTCACCAAACGCGTAATTTTTGATTTCGCGCACTTACTTGTGTAATAAGTAAAAAAAAGTAAGGTCGGAGTTATTTTTCTGGTTGTATTGGCTAAAGTTACTGTAGATGACCATTTTAAGTATTGTTACATATAACTTTTTCTTTATTTTATTAATAAAATATATTTTAAAGATAATTTTTCCTTAAATCAGCAAAATCAGCCAATGTAGCCACTTCAGCCAGAACTTCATAAATTTCAGCAGAATCAGCCAAAACAGATGATTTTCGTGCTACCAAACGGGCTCTAAGTGTTTGTGGCTTTTTTTAAAAGAAAAAATCACTTATTTTACCAAACACTACTAACTTTTACTTTTCTCGGCTTTCGTGTAGAATCTACTTTTTACTTTTTCTATTAAACAAAAAACACTTATTTTACCAAACACTATCAACTATTACTATTAATCACTTTTTCAAAAAAGTGTTTTTTTAGCACAAGCACTTGCAAACAAAGCCTTGGTATGATATTAGGTAATCAAATCATTCAATTACTTTTGATTTCATTAAGCCATACATATTCAACAACTCGACATTACACGAAAAAATCATACATATATGTTTGTCAATGTGTATGTCCTGCACTCTGCACACACAAGGAGCTAGTACTACATACTACGAATTGAAGTAATTAGTCCTGAACTCCTGATAAAACAACTTCATTTTTATATTATTCAATTCATTAATGCAAGAAGCCATCGTACTATTTGTTACATAATTACCTGCGTCCATTAATTAGTTGTGTGTTTGTGTGTGTTGCATACCATGAAGTATATAATAAGCCCATATAATCAAAATCTTAATACATAAACACGGATGAAGTAATAAGTCTCCATCATTAATTTCTTATCAATGTTATGTTTATAGAACGTACAACTCACCCATCACTCTTACCCACTCAAACATGTTTTTTTATAAGCATGCAAACTGATTCCATCATTAATTTTCAATTTATTCTCATATTTTAGATTTGCAAGTGAAATGTGATGGTTACAGAATTTTTTAATCTGAAAAAATGCCTTAATACTTCATAAAAAAAATCATATCTTTACAATCTAAAATTGTTATGCTTTTATTCGAAATGCTATTATTATTATTCCATTATACATATCAACTCACATTCTCGTTGCAGGTTGCATAAACTTGTCGGAGAGTAATAGCATTGTAAGAGGATGGCATAAGCAAAGAGGGTAAGGGGCGACAAATTTGTTGGATGGTGAATGAGGCCAAATGTGTAAACTTCTGGCATAGCATCAACATTGGATGAGAAGACTTGGGCAGTGGCGGATCAGAGAACTTGCATGCTAGAAGCCTTGAAAAATTTTAACTTTTTAAAATTTACTTCGTATTATATAGGGAAAATCCTATTTTTGCACCTTTATATTGTTTTAGTCTTATTTAGAGAATTCTCTCTTATGTGAAATCCAAAGATTGAATCCCAATTTATTACATGACCAAAGAATTAAGCGTTTTAAGAGCAAAATGTAGTGCACTTTAGACATCAAAATGGCAAATAGTACTCTAAAAGGTTTAGTAAAGTTGATTGTTACCAACCACTAAATACTTTTTCAAGTTGATTACACAAAACAGAACCCATGGGAGAATATGCAACACATGCATGGAAGAACCTATGCAGCTGGCTGACTTGTGGACTTATACTTTTCCTCTGAAGACAACTTGGGCTTTTGGGGATAAACGAGAGAAGCTCATAATTTCCTCTAGGATTTCCAAAACCTTGACGTGGCCTGCTTTCGTAATAACAAGTTCCTCAAGGCCAGGTGAGTTTAAAAGGATTGTTTTAACAAATAGCGCTTCCAGTCTATATCCATGAAAAAATTGCATCTTCACCGTTCTAAGCATTTTCAGTTGGTTTTTAGTAACACAGCTGTAAGGATACTCCAAAATTCTGGTAACATCTTGTTCATCATCTCTTTGAAGGACCTACATGCAACACAAGGAAAAGAGAAATTTGGAGAAAATCATAAACACAACATATTAATCCCCAAATTCAAAGGTAGATAATAGCTCTTACATGAAGCGGTGTCTCAATTCTAAGTTCGCATAACTTCGGACATTTTTGAATCAATTTGATAACAAAGTTGAAGTGGTTTGCACAACTAAAATAGACACTATGAATCACAACCACTTGCAGATTTGTTGCACTTGGGAACGACCGTACAGCTACGGCATCAGATGTATGCTTTAAAAAATGAACAAAAGTTAACATTGGAAAATCTTCAACATGCCAGAGTGAGGAAACATAAGAAAACAAGACAAAATATTTCACTATCATATCTGCATAACAAAGTGTAATTAAGTAAAAGATGTATTCTTACCTGCAACATATCTGCATCCAAGTAAAGAGTATTGATTACAGCAAAATGGAGCACAAACCATCTTGAATCAGCCACACTTTTAAAACTACGGTCAATAGTTAAGCTCTTTAGTTTTGGTGCGCTAATCACAAAATTATCAATCCCAGGACAATTGTCAAAAGAGAGCTTCTCCAGATTAGGAAGACTATAGACTGTTCCAGAGGGATCAGGCTCGAATATAACATACTCAAAAACCAATGAAGTGACGGCAGGAAACACACAATGGGAATTAACAGGGAAGCGAAAACTGAATCCACCAATAAGAACTTGCTTAATTGTAGGGCAAGTGATTATACACTCTTGAAGAATATATGTTTCTTTAAAATTATGAATAGAAAGGTGAAGTTCCTCAATGCCATTTCTCGACAGAAAAAGACACCAACGATCTATATCAGGTGGTAGTGGCATAGGAATTCTTCCAGAGATATAATACTCCTCATACTCTGAATGAGCCAGTGTAAATTTCTTAACAGGTCCCGTCCGGAACATGACATATCGGTTCATTACTCCAACGCAATCCACGGGCTCACCCTCTTCATCGTCGAATTGTATAAAATAAGAGAAGAAGGCCAAATCGAAGTCCAGCCGGCCGTGAGCAAACCAAACATCCTTCCAGTGAGTTGAAAGCAGAGCCATTCTTGCAGCTTCACGCATGCTCAGCAATTCGAGAATTGATTCCTTCAGCTCTGCTGGTAGTTGACTTATGTAGTCCTCTCTATCACCTGATGTGGTTTTTCTTCGACAAATACGGGCCATTGATTGACAAAAAACTATGCACAGTAATACGTATTAGTTAGTACTACGTACTATCTATTAAGTTACATACCTGCATAAACTTAACCTCATGAATAATACTTCTGTTAACAAATTGGACTACTTATATTAGCAAATAAGACTTGTTATATTTTTTCATTAGAAATGGGAATTTGGACTAGAAATAAGAAATGCTGATATAACAAGGAGTGTTAGGTGATATATATGCAAATTATAAGGATAATATTGAAAGGGTGATTGTGCCGAAATTGTTTATGATGGTATAAGTTCTTTTTTAACAATTAGGCATTATACAATGAAATTTCAACATTTTAAACTGAATTTCGTCTTTCACAAGCCAATACACAGAAACGTCAAGAGATTCTGAATCCTCTTGGAAGTAAGTTTCAAGCTAATGGGCAGAATTGGTTCTGAACCATAACATTGACAACAGTTTACCGCTAATTAAGTGTGCTTGATGAATAAAGAACAATAAAGATTCATAATTGTGGTGAGCTGGTAAAATTAAAAGGATAACTGAAAGAAACCTGTATAGATATAGCCGGAAACGGAGGACGTGGTCTGCGGTTGAAACCGATGGAATTTGTACTTCGTAATTGTGATTTTTAGGGTGGGCGCTTTTCCTAAATAACCATTGCGTATCGTCATATGATTTTAGAGATTTATAATTAAATAGGACTAAAAGAAGGAAGAATTGGTGTTAGCGTCTCTCACCTTTTCTTCGCAGACGACTTGATGCTTTTTGGTACTGCTTCTAGGGATCAAATTGAAGTTATGATGCAGATTATGGAGACGTTCTCATCAAAATCGGGTCTGGAAATTAATAAGGACAAATCAAGGGTTTATTTTTCGCCCAATATTGATGGAGGTACTAGAAGCAGCCTTCAGAATCTCTCTGGTATTAAGCCTACTACGGATCTAGGTAAATATTTAGGTGCCCCTATCATTCATGGGCACAAATCTAAAGACAATTTTGCTTTTATTATTGACTGGGTGAAACAAAGATTGGCTTCTTGGAAAGAAAAGGTTTTAAATATGGCTGGCCGAAAGACACTGGTTCAATCCGTGACCACAGCTATACCCCAATATGTTATGCAAAGATCTTTGATTCCTATGAGTATATGCGCTAGCCTCGACAAAATCAATAGAAATTTTCTTTGGGGTAACAAGGGAGATAGAAGTCGAATTCATCTAGTCAATTGGGATGAAGTTTGCAAACCAAAGGAAAAAGGTGGTTTGGGCATTCGAAAAGCTCGGTATAATAACATGGCCTTAATCTCTAAATTGGGTTGGGACATCATGATGGATACTCCGAAGCTTTGGGTGAAAGTTTTCAAGGCGAAATATATCAGAAACTCTTCATTTTTCGAAATTACAAAAAATCACGAACCTCTCACACATGGCGGGACATCTTGGATAGCAGGGATATCATTCGGAATGGGCTGGGATCGCGGATGGCAAGTGGGAAATGGTGAGAACATATCATTCTGGTTTGATATTTGGGTGAGGGATAGGCCTCTTTATGAAGAAATTGGATCTCCGTTAGCAGCAAATGCAGGGCAAGTCAGAGTGGCGGATTTACTAATGAATAACAAGGATTGGAATATTGCCAAACTGGATACTTTACTCCCAGAAGAAGTGGTCGAGGATGTGAGAGCGATACCTATTCCTATGGCAAAGGATTATCCTGATGGCATTTACTGGAGGCTATCTGCAGCAGGTGAGTTTTCTGTAAAATCAGCCTATAATTCTATGTTTTTGTCACAGGATACAGACGATTGGAGCTGGGTATGGAAGGTTCGGGTGGCTGAAAAGATCCGATGTTTTCTTTGGCTTGTGATAAAAAAACAAAGTGCTCACAAATGTGGAAAGATGGAGAAGGAATCTGACTGATGATAAAATATGCCCAATATGTAATGATGAGGAAGAAACGGTGCTTCATCTGCTCCGGGACTGCCCCTTTGCAATAGAAGTTTCGCAGAGGAGTTTACAAGGTGGCCATAGAAGAGGAGATACCAGCTCAAGTAGTCTAGAGTGGGTTCGAAGCCACTGTAACTCTAGTAGTGATGTTTCTGGGAGAACCACACATGCCTCAAAGTTTGCATATACTGCGTGGATGATCTGGAAAGCTAGAAATGAATGGATTTTTGAGGGTGTACAACTAAATGTGGACAAGCTTGTATGGAAAGCCCAATTTTTAGCTGATGAATATACAAGTACGACATCTCTTGATTGTTTCAAGCAACGTAAAGAGGCTAAAATTGTTAAATGGATTCCTCCAGAACCAGGATATTTTAAACTTAACTGTGATGACTCTAGTCGAGGAAAGGGGAAAGAGGCCGGGGCTGGTGGGCTGATACGTAATCATAAAAGAGAATGGGTTAGCGGTTTTTGTATTAATATTGGGAAATCTGATAGTTTTAAAGCTGAACTTTGGGGCTTAGGACAAGGTTTGTTACTAGCGAGGGAGCTCGATCTGAATAGAGTTATTGTTGAGTTTGATTCTGAGAGCATGTTCAAAGCTGTTAATAAGAGCGATGGTTGGAACAAAAATAGTATAGGGGTGCTAGTTCGGGATTGCCAGAAGCTTCTTGGAGAGGAAAGGTTTGTCACGGTTCAACACACGTTTCGAGAAGGTAATAGAAGTGTGGATGTTTTAGTGTATGCGGCTCATGCAGTGCCTTTGGGACTTACTATTTTTCAAGAGGCTCCTGCATGGATAAAAATTCCTCTTCTTGAGGATGCTAACGGTCTAGAGAACATTAGATTTTAATTTCCTTTTTTTTTCAGTTTGTCTTTCTTTTCCGATGTAATAAAAAAAAGGAAGAATTGCAAAAATAGGATTACTATGTTTTATTTAACAAAAATAGGACTAAAAAGAGGTAATCTTACAAAATTACCCTTAATAAAATAAAACTAACTCTCCCAGGCTCTCCCAGGAGTGCGCTTCTGAGAAGACTCTAGCCCCGTTGAATTCTTCGGCCAAGCTTTGCTCCCATCTTAATCTTGGTCTATGAAGCTTCTTTACTGCCATCCTCTGCTCAAGAATTTTTCATTATTAGATGCAGGAGGAAGTAGCTCCCTATTTCAAATAGCACGTCATTCTTCTTCACTTCTTCCTCCTCTCCTTCTCCTTCTCCTTCTTCTCATCTTCTTTGATTTTGAATCTTATTTATTGATTTTGATTAATCTTGAATTTAAGAATTGCGAAGCAGGAAGGTAGAAGATGGACGAAGTTGTTTCAGGAAATATCTCAGATGCGAATTAGGCAAGGGGTTTGCTTTGGACATATCAGGCGAGAAGGGAATTGGGTTGCGCACTGTTTGGCCCAAGAACAGGTTTCCAGTCTGGTTTATTATTCTCATTTAGATATTCTTCCTCTGGTTGCTAAACGCTATTTTTGGATGGATTTTTATGGTATTCCTTCTATTAGAGAGTAATTTGCTCGGGTCAGGTTTGGCCCCCCCGAGTGTATTGATTCTGATCATCTTTAATAAAACTCTGGTAAACGTCCCCCGGCGCTTAACCCACTAATTTTGGTGGTTGACCTTTCGGGGTTAAAAAAAAAAAAGAATGCCATAAAAATAATAATACTTAGAAAAAATGTCACTTTTATGACATTCCACCTATTAAGATGACAATATCATTTTGAAACTATAAAACTCTAGAATGTCATATTTTTATCTGTTTCACAAAATAATGTCAGTTTTATGCAACTAACTTTATAAAGATGACGTTTTCTTACTGAACTTTAAATTTTACATGTTAATGGCATTTTTTTACTAACTTTATGCCACTTGATATGAATAATGACATGTTAATGGCATTTTCTTATTTACATGTGACATTCTCAAATTGCTATTCTTACACAATGTACTATCACAAACGTGACATTTTTTCAAATAACCAATACTTTTGACATTCTCAGATTATGAAAGTGCATTTTTCTCAAAAAATAAAATTCAAATCCAAAACAATCCAAATCAATACATAATATCCAAAAACCTATTTAGAATTTAAAAAGGTAGTAAATGAATAGAAGAAAAAAAACAGAAAACAAAGTGCATGAGGGGGAAGAAGTGCACCAGGGGAAGAGGAAGAAAGAAGAAAGAAAAAGAAGAGGAGGAGGAGGAGGAGGAGGAGGAACTTACCTACGATTGACGGCGGAGGTGCAAAGCCATAGTCGGTAATGGAGCTGCAGTCCATGGGAGGAAAGGATTTGCGCATGTGTGAAGCGGCTGCCTGCTGCGATGAATTTTTGCAGCCGATCGAGAGAAAACCGATGAAGTGCAGATGAATGTGAAGGGTAGAATGGTAATCGGCGGTCCTATTTAGGAAATTTAAAACATGTAGTCCTATTATGGAATTTTGAGTATGCTTTAGTCCTATTAAGATCAATTTCTTTATGGTTTAGTGTCTTGTATTAAATTTTTAAGGAATATAATGGATAGGGGTCATAACGACTATGAAATGAAAAAAATTGAGTTGAAATTTGTTATTTGTCTATAAAAGAAATTTAACTATAATTTCAAACTTTTTATTTTCATAGTCCTTATAATACGTTCTGATGAAAAAAATACTACTACCTTCATCCTATTTTATGTGTCTTATTTTGATTTGACATAATTATTAATGAAGTGATTGAAAAAGTAAAAGTTGTAGTTGAGATTTGAATATACTAAAATGAAATGGAGTAGACTACATTTTTCTTTCCAAAAAAGAAAATGAAACACTTATTTTGAGACAACTCAAAAAGATTAGTAGAACAAGTAAAATGGGTCACGGGAAGTACATGGTAATTATTTCCACTTTTAAATGTAATATATTAAGAAATCACAAAGCATGATGAGCAATAAATCCAAACATTTTTTTGAAAGGAATCCCAACACAATTTATTAATCATAACAGGTTAGATGACTTTTTATAATCATTAAATATATTATATACTTAAGAGATAATGAAAAATAAGCTCCATAAAGCTCATCACAATTATCTCTAGAAGTATACTACGTAACATTATAAGATGAAACTAAATGTTATTCCTAGGCAAGCTACATAAAGTTAACCATAATCATATTCACTAGGCAAGAAAAATCACTGAAGAATTGTTATTCTAATTAATTTTACTATATGACTCCTAGGCATGGCCTCGGTTCGGGCCGCCCGGCCCGGGACCGGCCCGACCCGCTACTGTGCGGGCCCGGCCCGGCCCGGTTATCCGGGTCCGGGTCCGGTTCGGGCCGGAGGCCCGGGGGTGGGGCGGTTCCGGGCTCGGTTCATGGTTTTGACGGCCCGGCCCGGCCGGTTCGGGCCCGGGTCCGGGCCAAATCTATTTTTTTTTTAATTTTTTTCATTTGTTTTGGGCTGTTGGGCTTGGGCTATCTGTTTAGGCCGGTTTGGGGGGGTTTGGGGGGGTGGGGGGGTGGGGGGGGTAGGGGAAGAAAGGAAAAAAAAAAATTAAACCGGGTGGCCCGACCGGCCCGGCCCGGCCCGGCCCGGAACCGGACCCGGAACCGGTGGCCACCGGTTCGGGCTCGGGCCCAACAAAACAGACCCGAGGCCCGGCCGGGCCTAGGCCCGAACCGGGCCCGAACCGGCCCGGGTCCATCCATGATGACTCCTCCACGGCTCCACCAAATGAAATAGGTACTCCAAATATGAGTGTACTTCGTAAAGTTGATACCGAGCTAGCAAAAAACATTTTGAACTTCCAATCCAGCAAAACAAGTTGACTACACATAGCCAAACCCCTTGGATTTCATGCAACAAATGCATGGGAAAACCTAGATGGCAGGATGGCTGGCCTACTCATACTTGGAATCCATGAAAACAACTCGAGCTTGTGGGGATGAGCGGGAGCAGCACATGATTTCCTCTAGGATCTGCATATCCTTGCAGTCAGGTGATTTCGTAATAACAAGTTCCTCAAGGGCGGGTGACTTAAAAGGATTGTCTTGACAAACTGCACTTCAAGTCTGAATCCACAAAAGATTTGAATCTTCACTGTTTTAAGCATTTTCAGTTCCTTCTTAATAACACAGCCGTAGGGATTCGCCAAAAGTCTGGAAACATATTCACCGTTGCCTCTCTGTGTGCCCTAAGTACATACCACGGAAAAGAGAAATCTAAACAGCATATGCTTGACTTGTCATAATTTGGAGAGAATAATGAACACAAAGTCATAATGGCCAAATCAATCGGTAAATAATTGGTCTTATATAATCAAATGTCTCAATTCCAAGTTCACATAGCTTTGGGCATTTTTGAATCAATTCAATAACAAAAGTGAAGTGCTCTGCACCAAAAATTGGCATTATGAATCACAACCACTCTCAGATTTGTTGCATTTGGGAACATCTGTGCAGCTACTGCGTCAGGTGAATCCTTTAAAGAAAACAGAACAAAAATTAACCTTGGAATATCTGTAACAAGTCAGAGTGAAGAAACATAAGAAACAAAACTAAATATTTCATCATCACATCTGCATAACAAAGTGTAGAAGTAAAAGTTTATTCTTACCGACAACACATCTACATGCAAATGAAGAGTACTGATTACAGCAAAATGGAGCACAAACCATCTGAAATCAGTCACCCTTTCAAAATTACGGTCAGTAGTCAAGCACTTGAGTTTTGGCGCGCTAATCACAAAATTTTGAATCCGAGGACAATTGTCAAAAGAGAGCTTCTCGGGATTTGGAACACTATAGACTGTTCCAGTGAGATCAGGCTCAAATAAAACATAGTCAAAAGACAATGAAGTGACACCAGGAAGCACACTATGTGAATTAACAGGGAAGCCAAAATCCACCGCACGAAGTGCGAGTTGCTTAATTGTTGGGCAAGTTACTATACACTCATGAAGATTATATGTTTCTTTGTGATTATCAACAGAGATGTGAAGCTCCTCAATGCCATTTCTCGACAGAAACAGACACCAACGGTCTATATCCGCTGGGAGTGGTAAGGGAATTTTTCCACGGAGAAGATAATCCTCAAACTGTGAAACCACCAGCGTAAATTTCTTAATGGGTCCTGTCCGGAGCATGACTGTTAAGAACTCGCGTATAAGACCTTGTCCAAGGTCTCAGACGAGATCTCAGGAGAGAAGAAGAGCCTACTGAGACCTTAGTATCAATATTGTTATACTAGGATTATCGAATGAGGCAAGAATAAATACGAAGAGTCTTCAGGAATTAATCGGTGCCCGACCTAGTCAAGACACATCAAATTAATTCTCCAAAGGTCCGTTATTGAACAATATTAGGTCCCTTTTATAGAGATTACAAGAGTCCTAATAGGAAGCATAAGGATATTAGGAAGTTTCCTAATTTGAATTAGGAAATAACTAAGAATAGGAAATAACTGGATCTGACTAATTAAATGCTGCCAGGAAGTTTCCTAATTTGAATTAGGAAATAACTAAGAATAAGAAATAACTGGATCTAACTAATTAAATGCTAATTAATTAAATGCTGCCACTTGCCAATCTGCCAGCTTTCCTTATTCTCGTGGTCAGCCATCTAGAGTATTCTGATCTTCCCCGATTTGACCAACTAATTCCCCTGAACCTAACCGTCCACGTCTCCGTTGATATACTTGTCCATAGAATGGATCCATAACATCACTCCCCCCGTTAATTAAAAGCTTGTCCTCAAGCTTGAACTCAGGAAATGTGGATTGAAATGTATCCAATGACTCCCATGAAGCTTCTTCCTTGAGCTGCCCCTGCCATTGGACCAGGAGTTCCATCTGGCCATCATGCTTCCGGCTGCGGAGAACTGCAGTGGGCTGAAGAGAAGAACGAGGTTCGTCAAGTGGTGGCAAATCTCTTATACTTTGTGGGATAGGCCCGTGATGTGGTTTGAGCAATGAAACATGAAAAACATTGTGGATACGACAATCTGCCGGTAGGAGAAGCTGGTAGGCAGTTGCCCCAATTCTCGCTTGCACCTGAAACGGCCCATAAAAGCGAGGTAAGAGCTTATGATGGCGCTTGATTAGTGACACCTGCCGATAAGGATGTACCCAAAGCCATACCCAGTCCCCTATTTCAAATGATAGATCACGATGGCCCTTATCAAACTGTTGCTTCATCCGCTGTTGCGCTTGCATTAATCGGTTCCTTGTTGTGGCTAGCAAGATGTCACGATCAATGAGCTCCCTCTCGACCCCTTCTAATTGGGTTGTTCCCGGTGTATGTGCCACGAGTTTGGGAGGTTCACGCCCATACACAATGCGAAATGGAGTATCACCCAACGCCGTATGATAAGATGTATTGTAACAGTATTCAGCCCATGGAAGCCAACGAACCCATTCCCGAGGGTAATCACTCGTTAAGCAACGCAAGTACATGCCCACAGTGCGGTTAACGATCTCTGTTTGGCCATCAGTTTGCGGGTGATAAGCTGAGGAAAAAGCCAACTTTGTACCGGCCAAACGAAACAATTCGCGCCAAAATGCACTGATGAAAACTTTATCACGGTCCGATACAATAGATTCAGGTAAGCCATGAAGACGGAAGATTTCAGCAAAGTACACTCCAGCTACAAATACAGAAGTATACGGGTGGCTTAATGGAATGAAGTGTGCCGCCTTTGATAACCGATCCACCACAACGAGAATAATTGATTTCCCTTTTACCTTCGGTAAACCCTCAATAAAATCCATTGTAATATCTGCCCAAATGTGTTGCGGAATGGGGAGTGGTTGAAGCAACCCTGCTGGCTGTAGGTTCAGCCACTTATGTTGTTGGCATACTTGACAGTCACGAATGTACTAGGCCACTGTGAGCTTCATGTTTGGCCAGTAAAATTCCTTACGTAAGCGGTGTAATGTCTTCTCAATGCCCTCATGGGCCATGCCATGGAACACAGATAGTATGCTAGGAATAATATTGGACGAGGGCAGCAAATACAATTTATGTTTATAGTAAAGCAACCCATCTTGAAATGTCCAGTCTTCTGTGGTCGTCCCGGCCAACACTTGTTGTTGAATGGCCTCAATCTCTGGGGATGCTGCCTGGGCAGTCCGAACCTCATCTAGTAGCGTGGATAGCGGCACCGTGAGTGAGGCGAGAATGAGTGGAGTTTCATTCTGTCGAGATAGTGCATCCGCGACTGTGTTGAAACGCCCTGGTTTATATTCCACACGAAACGTAAAACCCATCAACTTACTTAGCCAATGTTGTTGAGGTGATGTGGTGAGGCGTTGCTCGAGTAAGTATTTCAGGCTAGAGTGATCTGTTCGTATCAAAAACTGTTGACCCCATAAGTAAGGCCTCCAATGAGTCACTGCCTTAGCAAGACCAATCAATTCCCGTTCATAAGCTGCCAATTTGATATGTCGGTCTGCAATTTTCCTGCTGAAGTAGGCGATGGGGTGACCCTCTTGCTGCAAAACTGCACCAAACCCACTTCTTGATGCATCGCACTCGACGATAAACTCCTTAGAAAAATCTGGAAGTTGGAGGACCGGGGCAGTGGATAAACAAGTCTTCAGTTGACAAAAAGAGGAGTTAGCTGCTGCTGACCAGTCAAACCCATTCTTCTTTAGGAGTGTGGAAAGGGGAGCTGCAATTTCGCCATAACGTGCAATAAACTTGCGATAATACCCCGCTAGGCCCAAGAAACTGCGCAAGGCCGTGACAGATTGTGGGGTTGGCCAATCCATGATAGCTTGTATCTTGGTGCGGTCAACTTCTACTCCACCGGCGTGGATAACATGCCCCAAATAGTTAACAGAAGTAGCTCCGAAGCTGCATTTTGACTCCTTAAGGAACAAATTATGGGTACGCAGGATGTCCAAGACGTGGCGTACATGGGCCACATGAGCAGTCCAAGACTTGCTATAAATGAGAATATCGTCGAAGAATACCAGGACAAACTTTCGTAAATAAGGAGCAAGAATGTCATTCATCAAACTCTGGAAGGTGGATGGTGCATTAGAGAGGCCAAACGGCATCACCAGAAATTCAAAATGTCCATGGTGTGTCCGAAAAGCGGTTTTTTCTATGTCTTCAGGTGCCATACGTATCTGGTGGTAGCCTGAACGGAGATCCAACTTTGTAAAATATGACGCTCCATGAAGTTCATCCAATAATTCATCGATCACCGGAATGGGGAACTTATCCTTGACTGTCTTGGAATTAAGTTCCCTATAATCCACACAGAACCGCCACGAGTCATCGGATTTAAGGACCAAAAGTACCGGTGAGGAGAACGGGGATCGACTTGGCTGGATGATTCCTTGAGTGATCATCTCCGCACATTGACGCTCTATTTCATCTTTTTGCAGATACGGGTAGCGGTAAGGACGTACAACCACTGGTCCTGCTCCAGGGATTAAGCGTATGCGGTGGTCACATGTCCTCTTGGGCGGTAACCCTACTGGTGTCCTAAAGAGGTCCTCAAATTGGACAAGAAGGCCAGCCAGAGAAGGAGGTGTTTGGGCTAAGCCTACTGCCATAGTTGCAGTGAGCGGAGGGGAAACATCATGCCCATGCCATTCAACGGAGGTGTCTTCCCATGTAAAACGCATGGACAAGCGTGTAAAATCCCACATAATTGAACCAAGTCCACGTAACCAGTGTACTCCCAAAATCATGTCAAATCCGGCAAGTGGTAAGATGTAAAAATCTGCCGTGAAAGTCTTACCTTGGACTTCAAACTCCAATCCCGGACAAGTACCGATAATTGGGACTTTGTCACCATTGGCCACAATGACATGCAACCGGTTATTACGCAGGGGTTGATTTATTAGATTAGTCGCCAAACGCTCATGCACAAAATTGTGAGTGCTACCCGAATCTACCAAAATTATAATGGGACGGTTCTGGAGGGTAGCATGAATCTGCATAGTTGAGGACGAGCCAAATCCAGTCATTGCATGGAGTGACAATGTTGGTTCGATCGCGGTCTGTGACGTGTGATCCTCCTCGAGTTGGTCATCCTCCACAATTTCCACAAAGAATAGCCTCTTACAGCGATGACCTCGAACCCATTGGTCATCACAATTATAGCACAACCCTTTTTCACGTCGTATGGCTGCCTCGGCACGAGAAATTTTTTTGAAAGTTGGATTAGAACTACGACGAGATAAACTGGAATCAATAAGTGTCGTTCCTGAAGCATTCGGTCGAGAGGATGGTTGGGGCCGTATTATAGAGTCAGTCGAGGCAGTCGGGGTTTGGTACTTCCGCTCAACGGTTCGAGCCAACATCATGGCAGTGTCAAGATCGAGGGGGTCCTGGTACTCTACTTCCATGCGCACCAACTCACGTAGCCCGGCAGTGAAAATTTTGACCTGCATGCGGACTGAGATGCCAACTGTGTGTGCTAGTAATTGCTGAAACGTTTCAATATAGGTCTCCAAATCTGATGTCTACCTCAGTTTGGCTAGGTCACCTTCTGGGTTGGCACTGCATGGAGGTCCAAAACGTTTTGAACACTTTGTATAAAAGTCGGTCCAATTGACTCCTGTACCTGCAGAGTCTAACTGGTCAGCCCATAGTTGAGCGGTACCGACCATGTGAAAAGTAGCTAACCCCACTCGGTTCTGGGGAGGGGTTTTTTGTTGAATAAAAAACCGCTCGCAGCGTTTAAGCCATGACAAGGGTTCCGTTTTTCCATCATATTGGGGAAACTCCAATTTAGAAAAACGTGGAACCATAGAATCCTCAGTGTGGCGCTGGTGCTGCTCGGTATCCCTGCGTCGTCCCTGTCCGAATGGCTCACAGGAGTTGTCGGTCAGAACCTGCTGGACAGCAGTGGTCAATGCTGCGATGGATTTCTGCATCTCGGTGAAGGCTGTGGGCAGGCTAACCAAACCAGAAACCGTGGTTTGAAGGGCTGCCAGTTGATCCTCAACATCGATCTGGCGTTGGTCGAAGCCTTCAAGGAGACTCTTCATGTTTTCTGTTGCAGCAGAATCTGGTCCCGTTCCCATCGTTCCTGATGCTGATACCAAATTGTTAAGAACTCGCGTATAAGACCTTGTCCAAGGTCTCAGACGAGATCTCAGGAGAGAAGAAGAGCCTACTGAGACCTTAGTATCAATATTGTCATACTAGGATTATCGAATGAGGCAAGAATAAATACGAAGAGTCTTCAGGAATTAATCGGTGCCCGACCTAGTCAAGACACATCAAATTAATTCTCCAAAGGTCCTTTATTGAACAATATTAGGTCCCTTTTATAGAGATTACAAGAGTCCTAATAGGAAGCATAAGGATAATAGGAAGTTTCCTAATTTGAATTAGGAAATAACTAAGAATAGGAAATAACTGGATCTGACTAATTAAATGCTGCCAGGAAGTTTCCTAATTTGAATTAGGAAATAACTAAGAATAAGAAATAACTGGATCTAACTAATTAAATGCTAATTAATTAAATGCTGCCACTTGCCAATCTGCCAGCTTTCCTTATTCTCGTGGTCAGCCATCTAGAGTATTCTGATCTTCCCCGATTTGACCAACTAATTCCCCTGAACCTAACCGTCCACGTCTTCGTTGATATACTTGTCCATAGAATGGATCCATAACAGAGACATCGGTTTATTATTTTGGTGCAATCTTTGGGTTCATCTTCACTGTCATATTGTGGAAAATTTGAGAAGAAGTCCAAATCGAAAACCAGCTGGCCGAGAGCATACCAGGCATCCTTCCAGCAAGTTGAAAGCACAGCCATTCTGGCGGCTTCACGTATGTTCAGCAACTCTAGAATTGATTCCTTCAGCTCTGCCGGGAGTTGACTTATAAAGTCATTTCTTGCGCCTGATGTGGTTTTTCTTCGACAAACACTAGCCATTACGCTGATAAAGAAAAATGTGCTACACATTTGTAATTGAGCTTAATGCTAAAGAACATAGATGGATACATGGATCAATGGATGTATATGATGCATTTGCTAATCACAATAATCTGCATTAGTTAGGATATAGACATATAGTATACATGCACGCCAAGCAGACTTAAATTACATCACATGCTCTGCATGAACTTAACCTGAAGATTATTACTTCTGTTAACAAATAGGACCACTTATATTAGCAAATGGAACTACTTATTATTGAAATATATTGATATTTACTCATCCACATTATTTTCATATGTCCTGTTTACTTGTTGGGATACATAGCCACATGGGGTACATGTTCTTGCATGAGCCATGCATAGTGTTTCGTTTCTTATCATATGTACTTCGTATTACATTATATATACCCTGCGAGAGGTTTAATAAGAACAAGAGAGCATTACCTTCTCTTTTAGAATTCTCTCTTCAAATAGTTTCATAAATTGATAATTACTATCAATTTTATCATGGTATCAGAGCCGAACTCCTGAAAAAAAAAATATTTTTTGTGGCTAAGCTATGAACGTTGGCAATATTGAAGCCAATCATGAAGCTATGAGTCCCTCTTCTTCTGGTGCTCAAGTGAATATGGCAAATATATTGTCACATGCTCGCTCGTGGATAATTGACTCTGGAGCTACGGAGCATATCACTTGTAGTAATATTAATCTTTTTAATATGGCTAACACCGCGCCGGTGTCACCGGTTAGAATTCCTAACGGTGAATTAGTTCCAGTTCATGCCGTTGGTAGTTTATATTTACCCAATGGGTTTCTTCTTAAACGTGTTATATTTATTCCAAAATTCTAGTGTGACTTACTTTCGGCTAGTCGCCTAACAAGCGATCTAAATTGTACACTCACATTTTTCCCAGACTTCTGTGTTTTACAGGACTTAACCTCGAGGAGTTTGATTGGTGTGGGTAGATTCCGTGATGGTCTCTACTATCTAGAGTCTCCGAGAGGTGAGGGGGTGGCAATGTCAGTCCGTACTACCTCCGATTTATGGCATCAACGTCTAGGACATGCATCTGATGGGAAACTACATCACATTGATTTTCTCAAAGGCCTCAGACGGAGCAAGATCTTTGTGATCCCTGCATAAGAGCTAAGCAAACTAGACTATTTTTTCCTACAAGCACCATTAAGACAACTTGTTGTTTTGAACTAATACATTGTGACATATGGGGAGGCTATAGATGCGATCCAATTTCTGGTGCGCGATATTTCCTATCTATTGTTGATGACTACACTAGAGGTGTGTGGGTTTATTTAATGAAAAATAAATCCGAGGTTCCAGAACTTCTAATTCAATTTTGCAACATGGTTACTACACAATTTGAGCAAAAGGTTAAACGTATACGGACTGATAATGGAGTGGAATTTCAAATCAAAAATTTATTTGATTATTACAGACATACTGGGATATTATTGGAAACGTCATGCACAGACACACCACAACAAAATGGAGTTGTGGAACGAAAGCATAGACACATTTTGGAAATTGCAAGGGCACTTCGTTTTCAGTCTGGGTTACCTATTGATTTTTGGGGGGAATGCATTTTGACTGTTGTTTATATCATAAATAGGCTTCCATCTCCTATCATTTTTAATAAAAGTCCTTACGAAATGTTATTTGGAAAAGTTCCTGGCTATGATCATCTAAGAGTATTTGGGTGTTTGGTATACGCTCATGATAATAAAAGAAAAGATAAATTCAGCGAAAGGGGGAGTCCTTGTATTTTTATTGGATATCCATACGGACAGAAGGCATATCGAGTTTTTTGATTTGCAGAAACACTCCGTATATACGTCTAGGGATGTAACCTTTTTTGAAGAAATTTTCCCGTTCAAAAATGTGAACAGTCAAGAGATGGAATTTGGAGCAATGGTTGATCATGCATGTCAAATTATCTTAAATCAATGCCCCATACGTACCCATCATGGTCCCTCCAATTATTATCCTCCCATCACTAAAATGCAGCCACCATCAATTATACATGAGAAAGATGGGATTGATTCTGTCAACCAAGACAACTGGTATGAGCAACCAAATAATGCAGCACTAACCGACCCTAATGAACAGCAATTGCATGGGGCCCAAGGACAGCAGCCGCATGAAATGTCAGTCCTCTCTCCCAACTCACATGAGATTATTTACGTACGTCAACGGCCAGCTGCGGAGGGAACCTCTCAACAGCAATCGATGGGTGAAGCGGTCAGCACCTCTCGTTCGGATTCGGAAACAGACAGAGAAATCGGTAGGGCACCTCCTTCACCTATCACGTCTCAATACAATGCACCGCCAGAAGAGCCAAAACGCGGAGAAAGGGTTAGGAAATGTCCCAAACGCTTGCAGGATTACGAGGTTGACTTGCCCCCCTCACTTGATCATTCACGGACTACCACCAATTCAGTCAACTCGACGGTATATCCTATTTCTCACTTTGTTAATTATGAAAATTTAGCCATACTCACAAAATCTATTTAGCAGCCATCACCTCACGTGATGAGCCAAAATATTTCTCACAAGTTGTACAGGATCCCATGTGGAGAGATGCCATGCAAAAGGAAATTACTGCCCTGAACAAAACAACACATGGACTCTTATCAAATTACCACCTGGAAAAAGGATTGTGGACTCCAAATGGGTTTATAAAATTAAATACAAACCCAATGGCGATGTTGAACGTTACAAAGCTCGACTGGTTGCAAAGGGTTTCACTCAAGTTGAGGGGATTGACTTTCATGAAACATTTGCACCAGTTGCCAAACTCGTTACAGTACGATGCATGTTAGTTGTTGAAGCTAAGTGTAATTGGATTGTACATCAGTTGGACGTTAATAACGCTTTTCTTCACGGTGATCTAGCTGAAGATGTTTATATGCGCATTCCTCAAGGCTTCATGAAAAAGGGTGATACACGCGTATGCAAGTTACAGAAATCCTTATACCGATTACGACAGGCCTCTCGTAATTGGTATAAAAAATTCACCCAAGCTCTCACCGGTATCGGTTTTTCCCAGTCTCACGCTGATCACTCTCTGTTCATCTTTCGACAGGGTCCCATACACACTTATGCTCTTATCTACGTTGATGATGTTCTTCTTGCCGGAAATGACCTCTCATATTTCCACAGTAAAAGATTATCTGGACTCCAAGTTTAGCATAAAAGACTTGGGAAAATTAAAATATTTTCTAGGTATTGAAGTAGCTCGTTCCCCAAAAGGATTTGTTTTAAGCCAAAGAAAATATACCCTTGATATCTTGGCAGAATGTGGCCTCTTAGCAGGACGTCCCAGTTCATTTCCCATGGAGCAAAATTTAAAACTGCGTCCTGACGATGATAGCCCATTAGTCGACGCTTCCTCATATCGCAGATTGATTGGGCGTCTATTATATCTAACGGTTACCCGTCCAGACATTGTTTATTCTGTTAGCCAGCTTAGTCAATTTCTCAGCAAACCACACCAAACTCATCTTGATGCTGCTATACGAGTTTTGCGCTATTTGAAGCAAACACCTGGTCAAGGAATATTTTTATCATCCGACAATGACCTTGACCTCAAAGGATATTGTGACGCGGACTGGGCAGGGTGTTCCTTCACTAGACGCTCTAGCACTAGTTACTTTATCACACTAGGAAATTCACCCATTTCTTGGAGAACAAAGAAACAATATGTTGTTTATCAATTTTATCACTTATATTTTTATTTAGATTGAGATAAGTCATTGGTGCAAATAAGGTATAGCAATACAGAAAATAGTGTTAGGTGATATGCAAATCCTAAGGATAATATTCAAATGGGGATTGTGCTGAAACTATTCATGATGAATTGATGGTATAAGTGCTTTTTGTACCATTACGCAGTATAAAATGGAAATTTCTATATTTCAATCTGAACTTCATCTTTCACGAGCCAATACCCAGAAACTGTAAGAGATTCTGAATCTTCTTAGGTAAGTTTTGAAATGAGGAGTTAAAATACCATCAAGCTAATGGGGGCCAAATTGGTCTCTTGAGTGAACTACATGCGAAGAAAGAACGGACCTCCAAAGCCATAACATTAACAAAAGTTTACCGCTTAGTGTGCTTGATGAACAAAGAACAATAAATTCATCATTCAGTTCATTAACTAATTTAGATCTCTATTATCTCGAGTTTCATTTATTGCATATCAGGCAAATTGAAAATAAAAACTAAAGTCCGCCTTTGAGAGGGTAAACCTGATATAGCTGTGCTGAAATTGAAAAAGACAATCGAAGCAAACCTCTACGTAGCCGGAAATAGAGGACTTCTTCTTCTGTTCAAGGCGTTTTGAAAAGTTGAACCTTTGAGGCAGTTCTAGTCTTAAACCGATGGAATTGTAGCCAATTTAGTACTTTTCCGGCCAATACTTTAGGCGTGTCAAATCAATGGTACTTTTTTTTGCGAGAAGTCAAATCAAGGGTACTGTTTACAAAAAAAATTGAAGATGTACTTTTATCTCAGGATACACCTCATACAGGTAATACGTCTTATACAGAGTTGCTATACTGTGGGAGCATCCATGGTGAGCATCATACTCCCATGGGTTAAAAATGTCATTTACTATAAAATTTCAACTTAAAAAACGCGGATGAACAGTAATTATAATTTTTGTCTCAATATTTTTCGTGATGTAAATCGTGTGCATTGAAATGTAACTTGCATCTTGCGAAATGTAATCTCAGTTATTGATAAATGTAACTCATGCACTAGAATGTAACTTTACTCTCTTCAATAGTTATTCTGTTGCCTGTTATATATCAAATGTAAATCACGTATATTAAAATGTAACTTCAGATATGTTGATATGTAAATCACGTTAATTGACATGTAACTTGTTTAACCAAAATGTAACTTTTCTGGTGCCGGTAAGGGCATCTCCATCCATGAGATTATTAGAGGATTAAGGGAGTGTTTGCAATTGCTTCAACTTTAAAAAAGTGATTTGGGGAAAAGTGATTAATAGTAAAAGTTAGTAGTGTTTGAGAAAAAAGTGATTCTGAAAAAGTAAAAGTTGGTAGTGTTTGGTAAAATAAGTACTTTTTGTGTAATAGAAAAAGTGAAAAGCAGTTTAAAGCACCCTTCCACCAGCTTCCAGCTTTTAGCTTTTAAGTGATTAATTTAAGCAGAAGTTGTCATTTGAAAACACCCTTTTTAACTTTTTTTAAGCCAAAAGCCGAAAAGTGCTTTTTTTAATCAACTGCAAACACTCCTTAAGTTGGTGATGTGGCGGATTCATTTTGGGATCATGGTTGGGTGATGGAGATTATTTAGCAAGATTATTTGAAAAAATAATCCGGGATTGAAATCGAAGTTTTATTACATTTGTCATCATTGTTTGTATTGAAATCGAAGTTTTATTTCTTATAGTGCGTATTTGATAAGTTACATTTCGAATGAACTTGAGTTACATTGATCAATAACGTGAGTTACATATCTTTACACACGAGTTACATCATTCATACAACTGAGACCAAAAAACAATTACTGTACACGCGTGTACTGTTCACACGTTACTGTTCACGCGAATTTTGTTTAAAAAATTGTACAAAACTACGTCGTTTTGGGTGTGGGAGCACAGTGCTCACCGTGTGGTGATACCACGGTATACGAACTGTGCAGGGACGAAGCACACGCTGGAGAAGATGATGACTTTGGCTGCTCTCTGTCTTGATTAATTAAAAAACGCTACCTTTTTGGGATCGGTATACCGTGCGCACGGTGTACATATCCCACGGTATAATTTGCGTCTTACACAACGGATCATATCCTTACATGATGGTCTTCGGAAACTTATGGAAAACAATTAGGGCTGAGCAAAACCCGATCCGACCCGAAAAACCTGATATTTTTTCGTATATTATCCAAATCGAAATGAATATCCGACCCGAAAAATCCGAAACCGAAAATCCGATTACTATTGGGCCTAGTCCGGGTGGCGGGTAGGGTTTGTGAAATCTCAACCCGACCCGCTCGAATATCCGAAATATATGTTAGTGTGTACTTTGAATATTTAAATTAATACTTGTGTTCAATTATTTGTGTATCTATTTGTGCAACTTGTACTAAATTATTTGGGTAAATCGAATGTGTAGTGCATAGTGTGTACAATTTTTGTCAAAGTGGCATTCCAACACTTTAATTATCCAATTATAATGTGTTTTAATATAACCAAAATATCCGAAATATATTAAATTATGTAGTGTGTACTTTGAATATGTTAAATTAATATATACTTGTGTTCAATTATTTGTGTAATTATTTGTGCAATTTGTGTTAAATTATTTGTTAAATTTGGAAGTTTAGTGCACTAGTCTGTACATTTTTTGTCAAAGTGGCATTTAAACACATTAATTGTCCAATTATAATTTTTTTAATATAACTGAAATATTTGAAACCTGACCCGATATCCGATAATATCCGACTTAAAAATATCCGAAATATCATATTTGAAATATCAAAAGGTCAGGCCTAGTATTTAAATTAAAAAACCCGAACGGGTTTAGGGTTCGCAAACCCGACCCGCCTGAACCTGACCCGTGCACACCCCTAAAAACAATTATGTTAGGGATACATGAAGTGTACAAGATGTACACACTATAAATATCTTTAATTTTTATCATTTCACTTTTACTTTTTACGGAGTACCTCATATCTCTCCCTCTTATCTCCTCTTCTCTTTGTTCTGCACCTTTCTCCTAACCTCTTCTCACGTAACCCCTACCGGTGGGCGTAGTTCAACTGGTAGTAAGGTGCGTACAAGGGTTAGGTCTCGGATTCGAATCTCGGCAACTGCGATGAGAGGTTACATGCTAAAAATGCATAGGGCCTCTACAAGTACTGGGGACAGAGCCCTACTCTCTATCTGTCAGATTGTGATTATAGTTCAATTTACATCCTTCCATCGTGCCGTTCGGTCGGTGTTGGTGGGTCCTCAGGGATGGGGTGTCATCCTTTTTTTTTTCTTCCCACGTAACCCCTATTTCCCCTCGCTTTCTTTTTCATCATTTTCAATCCTCTTCCAATTTCTCTCTAACGTAACTCCTCTCATGTAAGCTCTAGTTTCTCTATGTGCTCGACCATTTTCTGGAACTATCAATCTTGAGGTAAATATCTATTCTCATTTTTCATGTGCATTTTAGGGTTTTTATCTACTTTTCTTTATTTCATAAATATTATATATGTTATAACAACAAATAATAATTTATTATATTGTTGGTCCCGGTTATCAAGGTAATAGTCTAAAGGGGGTGAATAGACTGTTATGGTTTTTAACTTTTTCAGGCTAATTACCAAGGTTAACGGAATAGCCTGTTTTGTTGGAGAACAGACTGGCAGCATATGGTCTTCTGGTAAGTGTTCTGACAAGATAGTCTCACAGAGGAGTAAAGGCACTAGGCCTTCTGTTAATTCACAAGAGGTGTTCTGCTGAACACAGATACCACGTCTATGGAGTTAAACAGTTCAAAACTAAACGCAAGAATTAAAAGCAGTAAGTAAATGACACCAGAGATTTTTATAGTGGTTCAAGGAACAACGTGTTCATCTAATCCACTGTTCCACTAAGCTTTGAAGTAAACTGTTACAAAGGTTTAGTCCTAGCACTTAGGAAGCTCTCCATGTCTTCTTCAAGTGTAGATGTCTCCTTGGATACACTTCCTTGCTTCCTTTAAGACTGGTCGTCCTTTCACTGAACTTCCTTGAAGTATGCCCACTTCACTCCAGTTACTTGGATGCCCTTCTTTGAAAGAAGATGTTTGTCAAAACTGAGTTTTCTCCAACTTGCTTCGTCACAAAAGATTTGTAATGAGGTGCTTGAAGTGTTGAAGAATTTGAGGGACTTTTCTCTTGTTGGACGATGAAGAGTATGTGAAAATATAATCTTTCCAACGTAAGCTTTTCTTGCTTGATGAGGTTGGAGTTTGAATCTCAAGAATGCTTGTTTTGATGTTTAGAGCAAAAGTTATCCGGCTGTTCTTCATGAAGTATCGTATATACTAGGGTTGTTTTTCCCGTTGGAGGAGGAAAGCAACTTCATTAAATGCGTGTACTGTAGAGTTGACCGGTTGGACCCACAAAGTTGGTGGCTTGCTATTTTTGTATAATATTTTCCTGGAATCTCGGTCAATCATCTGCAATTACTCCACAGCGTATCAGGCTCATTAAATTAGCATTTAATGTTGTACTGTAGTTTTACGGTGGGTAACTTCTAGCCGTTGAGGGAACCTTCCGTTAAGAGTAGGGCTGGGAAAAAACTCCCGACTCCCGACTCCCGATCCCGATCCCGACAATCCCGATCCCGAAAATCCCGATCCCGACAATCCCGATCCCGACTAGTCGGGAATTTTTCCCGATCCCGACTAAGTCGGGACGGGACCGGGATTTTTTTTTTTATAAAAGTCGGGATCGGGAAAATCCCGACATCCCGACATTATATATATATATACATGTATATAATTATATATGAATATATAAAAAATGAATATGTATCTAAATATTTGCACATCTTTTTTAAGTACTTATTCCTTACATAGATTAATCTTTTACTACGAGTATCTTACAATATCAAACTTCTAAAACTATTCGGCATTTGTCCGAAAATGAGTATTCGGGATCCTAACTAAGTAGAGATTATTCTTGATCCCAACAATCTAAATCAAAACATACAATATTACAAATTTTGCGGTTCTGATGAACTCTTTAAAAAATTATGATCGAGACTAAGATTTCTTTCTTTAGTAGATAATCATAATATGTATTTACACATTATATTTATTGGTCACAAAGTTTCTCAATGAGTCTACTTAGTTTTGAATATTAAATAATATACGTTACATATCCTTCTTTTAGTGTTTTTTTATATATTGTTTGAAGTAAGTTTCACTAAGCCTTGATAGCTTATTCAAAAATTATACTATTAATTAATTGAAGTTACACATAAAAATTATTCTAAAAGTATATACTAGTGTGAGTTTGAGATGATAATTATTACAATAATTTTTATAAGTAGATGATGATAAATATGGTATAACAATAAACAAAGAATATTATTGAAACTATTAAATATCAAAGTTAGTGTTTAACTAAAGAAATTACATAATTTCATGTTTGATACTTCATTGTCGGGATTTAGCGGGATTAAGCGGGATTCCCGATCGGGATCCCGACTTAATCGGGATTTTAATGTCGGGATCCCGACTTAATCGGGACGGGATACGGGATCCTCTTTTAGTTTGAATCGGGATCGGGACGGGATCGGGATTTGGGCAATCGGGATCGGGATCATCCCGATCCCACCCCTAGTTAAGAGTACTGGCAAAGTTATCAAGAAAAAATCTCTAAATGTTACGCTAACAGGATGAACGCGCAACTAGGAAAGAAAAACATGGAAAAGGAACCGGAATGAGAAATTACCTTGAGAGCGGCC